ATAAAAGTAGATCAAATATGAATTTATAAAATTTTAGCGGACAAATTTGTCCGCTAATCTGGACGGTTTAAGGGATATGTCATGTTTTTTTAAATCATCCGTTGAATGCTGAAATAACTTAAAAAGAACTTATATATACCGATTTGCTAAAAAAAGATAAGTTAAAAGGAAATATTTTGTCATTTGGATTATTTAATGCGCTAAATGATTCTAAATTTTTAGAACAGTTTCTTGCCTTCTCCATATCCTCTTCACATGAACTTTCTAAATTTCCTCTTTTATATGACTTCGTAAAATATAGAATTTGGTCAATCATAGTTCATCAACAGCAATTAGAAGGAATGTTCAATAAGTATGATATCAAAACGCATCCCAACATGACTGACGAAGTACAAGAAGCAAGGCTTCTGCTTTCAAGTCCAAGTAAACCGGAGGTAAGCTTCAATTGTGAAGATTTAAAGGCAGTCCGGAAAAGGCAACAGTGCAATGTTGCTAAAAATACTGATAAAGAGCTTGGCGAAATGGCTGCTAAAGCTATTTTAAAAAATTTGGTAAAAAAAAAAAAAATAAATGTATTTTAAAAATAAATGCGTTTTTTGAATAAAAAAAAAAGTTTAAAAATAATTACCCAGAAATGTATCCGGGTATGCCTGATTTTCCAGTAAAAAATCCTAACAATTGGATTGATTATATGTGTTGCAATATCATAGTAGATCATTTGGTATCTAACACCCCAATCTCTGATTACAGGTTTCTGTTGGCGACACTAATTACTATGCGATTACAATTCTAGATCCTTGAGATTTCATGCTTTTGATAGGGAAGTAATATGATAAATATAACATTCGTATAGTTGTAATTTAAGATTTACTGCTCGGAGGTTTTTTATAGAATTCCGTAATTAATTACGTACGTACGTAGTACATATAAATCATCTTTAATGAAGGTTCTTTCTATTTTGAAAGGACAAATTCTTCAAATAACCGTCATAATAAAGTTTGAATTTTTTGAATAATCAAAATTATTAGCTATTTTTAAAGATTTGAATTGATACGTACCCATTATGTTAAATAGATTAGATCCGAATTAGGTAGTGTTGTGTTGCTCGAGAGAGCAGCTTAGCTCCAGCTACATATAAATTTGGATGATACTACTGTATAATGTTCCGAATGCATTAGATCATTATTAAAATCAATAATGATGATTAGAGATTAATTAAAGTGGAATCATTGTCTTTACTTCATTTATTGGATAAGAAATCTACTTTTTTTATTATGATGTATTCTATTCCGTTATCTTACATTTACACTCCGATATTGTCCTTTCCCATGCACATTGGCATCTTGAGGTGCTCGTTTGGCGATAAAGCGGACCGATACCTTGGTGTGTCACCCCTGCAGAATACCATGCATAACGCATAAAGTTTTGAACCGTCATGCGTTACAATTCCCTGCCTAATCTACAATTACCTGGTTACAGTAATTTGATTTCCATCACGATAGTTTAAAATCTCGACTTAAATTTGAGTAATGACAAATACTTATTCGACTTGAGCTTTAGAACAATAGAAATGGTTTGGCATTTTGCAAGTTATAAGCTTATCTAGCTGATTCAAACCTTATTGTTAACTTACTTTCTTCAAATAAGAATTTATATAGTAAATTTTTCCTGAAAATAGGGTAAACTTGATCAGACTCTTGTCATTAGCTTTAAGTTTTGCGCCTTAGTAAACTTTATTATCTCATAATTCGGCAGACTGTGATTACATTATATCACATTAAATTGTATATCTGATATTATGTTACGTAAGAACCCGTCAATCAATATTTGGAATGCTTATTATTATATAATTTATATATAATCATGCAATTTTGCCGACCGATTTTTTAAATCTTTCTTTAAAGCTTATATTTATTAAAATTTAGTGCAATATTTGTTATTGATTCGGCTGATGATAGGCTTATTTTTAATACCAAAGTACTACATATATAGCGATTGTTTTTGGCTACTCACTATGGCTTAAAATCCACAGTAAATAAATTACCGACCCACTTTTCACTTTATCTTAGTATTTGGGGACCTATATTGAATAATCAGTTAAATTGTAAATTTATGAGACTAAAAACAAACAAAAAAAAAAACTAAGCGAAAAAAGCTTATCTTACATATATTTAAGCACTAATAAAAATGGTAGTTGTGCGAGTTTATCTGTAACCTTTTTTTTCCTAAAATTAAACACCAACTTTAAATTTTATACTTCACCTCCCTTCCAGATTAGGCAATCGAAAAATAAGTCGTTAAATATTGGTCCATATTCATGCGTTTTGTTGAGTTAGTTTTTAATATCAATAAAAATTTCACTCACCTCTATAGGAGGAAGACGGAATTCGTGTATCATATATTAGAAATTGACGTGCACAGAATTGGCTAGGTGCTTACATAATAACAATAAACAATATTGGCGTTATGGCTTTAAAGAGTACTTCATGAAGAATTTAAGACATGAATTTTTATTTGTACCTTCTTATCAATTCAAAATTGCAATGATACAAGAAATATTAGCATATAATTATATGTATGATATCATTAATGCACGTACTTACATACAAAGTATGTTGCGTGTTCTAAATAAACAGACACTGAAGATCGTTGTGAATAAATCTTCTATAAATATGTAAAATGAGAAGTGAATAACGTCCAAAATATTGCTTAATTCCACCTTTCGATAGAAAAAAATTACAAAACAAAAAACATAAATATAGAAACAAAAAAAAATAAAATACAAAAAAAAAATTATACTGTAATAATAATAATAAAGCAAAAAACAAATACAAATAAAAAAGACAAAATAAGTTTTTAAGTATGTATTTTTAAAGAAAACGCGGGCAGATAATCTTATTGACCTTAACAACAAATTCTTTAGATAATGGCGTCTGAGACATCTTTTCAAAGCATTGAATGCTTTGAATGTGGAAATCCACGCAATAATTTATGGTGCTCCTGTGAAACCGAAGCTTTTATACGGAATTTTCATAGATGGACAAGTGGCAACAAAATGCTAGACAAAATCATTCAATATACCCAACGTCATGCAAGCAAAGATGTTGGTTACCTTGAATGGATTCCATTTGAAAATATTGACTTTATAGAATATCGTGCAACAGGCTCTTTTAGTACCATTTATAGTGGTTTATGGTTAGAAGGCCCTAGATGGAATTGGGACGAAAAAAACGCCGATTGGCTTAGAAATGGTCCAACAAAATGTGCTTTAAAAAGAATAGAAAACTCTAACCAAATGAGTCAGGAATATTTAGACAATGTAAGCATTTCTTATATATATTTCTTATATATTAGAAAAAAAACTACCATGTTTATCGACATAATTACTTATTTAATTACTTATTTAATTTGGTTCTCTTTATTTAGATTATAAAATATCACCAATGTCTTCAAGGAAGATCTGTTGTTGATTGCTTCGGTATTACACGTGATCCAACTGGTTGCTATATGTTTGTAATGAGACTTTGCGATGAAAATTTATACCAATACATTGATAAATCTATGGGTTATCATCGTTGGGAATGTATTGTTGAAATGCTTCGTGGAATTATTGATGGTCTTAACCGAATTCATGATAACGGGCTTTATCATGGTAATCTCCACGGTGGAAACTTGTTAATCGAATATACGTCTGGAGGCATCAGTATAAGAATTTCCGATATCGGATTACATGGTCCAGCTAACAAAACTGCTTCTGCAACATATGGTGTTTTACCATATGTAGCTCCAGAAGTATTAAAAAGTGTTGAATATACACAAGCCTCTGACATATATAGCTTTGGAATAATTATGTGGACATTATCTGCATGTATGCGTCCTTTTTGCCGAGTTCCTCATGACCTTAATCTTGCTATAAGTATATGCAATGGATTACGTCCTGAAATTATTAATAACACTCCAGAAGCATATTCGACATTAATGAAAAGATGCTGGCATCGAGACCCAAATAAACGACCGAAAGTTACTGAATTAAGCAATATTTTAAATCGCTGGGTAACTGCGATTTATGATGATCCTATCTCAAACTTATTAAATGCTGAAAATAACGATATGGTTAGATCAGAAAATCTTATATTTACTAATAGAAGAATTCATCCTAAGGCAATGTACACGAGTCAATTATTAAATTTTCAATCTTTATCTGATGATGCTTGATTACCTTTTTAGAATTGGCAAAATCTATTATGGCAAAATCTGTATGCAAACTTTATATAGGAAAAATAAATAAGGACTGTTAAGTACAAATTCTTATGCTCGTTTAATTTTGCTACTCGAATTGAATTTTTTTTGATAGATGGTTAGCAAGATTAAAAGAATTTATTAAAAATATGTAATACTTGCTTCAAAAGACCTTAATATGGTCATGTTTCATTCAGAATTAGTGCTGTATTATTGTTAAGACATTGTACATACGTATATCATAAAATGTTTGATTTTAGAATAAAGTTAAAATTTAAATTTTAAACTTAATGAAGGGTATCATCATTTACGTATCACCAGTGACGATGCATCGCTACCCTTTGGTTAGCAATGCTTTGATTCACGTTACACCAAACTTTAGATTTTTTTTTTATCAGGTAGCGATGAATCGCACTGCTTGAATCTTAATTTCTTGCAAGTAACACCTGATATTCGAAGATCAAGGAAATCATTGTTCTTTTTTGTTATTTGAAGAAAGCTTATTATCGAATTTCGCTTACGAAGCTGTCTTTCATGTTTTAACAAAAATATTTCTTGCAAAATTTCAGTATATAATCTTGCTTACTATTAAATTTCACTTACGAAGCTGCCTTTTATGGTTTAACAAAATATTTCTGGCTAAATTTCAATATAATCTTAACGTTAATATACTGTAGGTGCAGAAACGGAGTTGCGACTTTCACGACGTAAGTCGTAATTAAGTAGTAAATATTATAATATTTTATAGACCGTAAGTATTTATATACATCATATGCTTATACTTGTTGGCAAAACCTAGACAAATCCCAAACCCCCAAAATACAATTACTATTTATAAAAATTGAATCAAAAAAGTTATCTTAAAATTTTGCAAATATATTACACTTTTACTAAAACGCACCTATGGTGTTTTACCACCTATATTGTATTATCTCAAAAACTGGCTAATTAATCGATGTGAGGTGTTCTAAGTAAAAATGTTCTACGCCCCCAAAAACCC